ATAATATATTTTTATACCAAGTGTGTATTAATGAGATATATTTTGTTCATCAAAGTCCACTGTGCATTTTACACTTAACAGCACATTTCATGTTGTTTTCGATTTTTTTTTTTTTTTTTTTGCTGTATGACTGAAAGATCTGACAAGAACAATTTTAGAGAAGGAAAAGTTTATTTGGGGACTCATGGATTTATAGGTCTCAGTCCTTAGTCAGTCCATTTCTCCTGGCTCAAGGTGAGGCAGAACATCATGGTGGAACAGAATGGTGGAGGAAGGCAGGTCAGGACATGGCCACCAAGGACAGGGAGAGAGACTCCACTTGCCAGATACAAAATGTGTACCCCAATGGCACACCCCAGTGACCCCCACCTCCTCCAGTCACAGACTGCTTGCCTTCAGTTACCACTCAGTTAATCCCTATCAGGGGATTAATTCACTGATTGGGTTAAGAATCTCATAACCCAGTCATTTCACCTCTGAGTATATGATGGGTATTGTCTCACACATCAACTTTTGGGAGACATCTAACATCTAAACCATAACAGATGTGCTTCATAGGCATGTATGGCTACTGTACTGGATACCACAATTTTGTGGTTTTATGGTATGGAATTTGGTGTCAGATGACCTGAGTTTAAATCCTACCATTGTATTTCCTAACTCTGTGTGTATGTACCGGTTACTTAACCTGTTTGTGCCTTAGCTTATTGAGATATAAAATAAGCAAATTAATATCATATACTTAAGGGGCTGGGGATGTGGCTCAAGCGGTAGCGTGCTCACCTGGCATGCGTGCGGCCCCGGGTTCGATCCTCAGCACCACATACAAACAAAGATGTTGTGTCCGCCAAAAACTAAAAAAGTAAATATTAAAATTCTAATATATATATATATATATATCATATACTTCAAAGGGTTGTTTTGAGAACTAAATGAGGTAATAAATGCAAAGCATGTAACTTGGTATCTGGAAAGTAGTAAATGCAAAATAAATGCTTATTTTAATAATTCCATCAGTATTTATTGTTGACCTTAATTAGTAAGCATTCTTTAGTTCCGGTGTCTTTTCCTTCCTGAAGATATTTCATTTTCCTCACCTAAACATTCCTACCTAAATTAGGCCAGGTGGCACACACTATAGTCCCAGCTATTCAGAACATTGAGGCAGAATGATGATGGCCTGAGTTTAGGAATTTCAGGCCAGCCTGGGCAACATAGAAGGCTTCATCTCAAAATAAGTAAATTAATAAGGAACATTCCCACTTAAAATTCTAAACCCACCACTAAATTGCAAAGAAGAATTGATGAGCTGGGAGAAAAAAATGCTGAGTGGTATAAGCTTGGCATGATATACTACTGCTACTGCTAAGCCTTCCCCTATAAGGTGCAGGTGATTTTTCAGTTTGCTCCTATACTAAACAGACTAATCAGGTGTTTTGGCTTTTTGAACCTAACACCATTATAGATGCTTCCTCAATCGGAAAAAAAAAAATTTTCACGTCTAGTAGCAATTTTCAGCTTTTATGAAATAGAGAAAGCATTCTTTTTCTTATCCTCCTTTCCCCTCACTTCAAAGTTCTGATTGAACCTTTTCTGCTCTCAGCCATTTGGGACCAAGCTGTATAATTAATATTGTTTTCTTTCCTGCTGTTTATATCCTTAGAGGAAAGTGCTCTCTACCCCAAGTAAAAAGTACACTGACTTATTACACCTTCTTTGTAATTATCATGTAGATCAAAACATAAAATGTTGCCCACTCCCTGTGCCTCCTTCTAATAAATACCCATTTCACTTCCCCACAGAACTACAGGCCTGTTCCTCACTCTCGGTTTTCTAGCTTTCCTTCGTATTTACCAGTGAAGTGTTTAGCCCTGATCACAATAGTTTACTTTTGCCTGTTCATGAGTTTCATCTGAATGATGTCATGTGTATAATTCTTCGCAAGATTCATCCCTATCCTTGCATGTAGCAGCAGTTCATTTTCATTGTTTCATTGAATGAATACTCTAGTTCATTTATGTATTCTATAGTAGATGGATAGGTTTTTATTCCAGTTTGAGGATATTATGAATAGTATTCTTATGAACATTCTTTTGTACATAAGCATGCTTTTCTATAAAACAAATCCAAGGGTAGAATTGCTAGGACATAGAAAATGAAATCTTGAACTTTGGTAGAATAAAGTCCAACTTTCCAAAGTGGTTCTACCAAATGATGTTTCCACCAGTGGTGTGTGAGAATTTCCATTGCTATATATCTTTGAAATAATTGCCATTTTTTTCCAATATATCTCACTGTGGGTTTAGCATTTTTTTCCACTAAGAAAAATTTAGTAAGTAGTTTCTAAAAATATTGACTAAGATGAAACCTTTGGTTTTTAAATTTTGCTGCTTTCCCTGTCTCTCAGAACCACAAGTGTTGATACTTCTTTTTAAAAAATATTTTGTTTTGGTTGTAGTTGGACAAAATACCTTTATTTTTATGTGGTGCTGAGGATCAAACCTAGTACCCCATATGTGCTAGGTGAGCGATCTATCACTGAGCCACATCCCTAGCTTGTGTTGATACTTTTTAGAAAGAGCATTTTAAATTTTAACTGGAAAAATAAAAGCAGCTAGTTTGGGATATTGCCCAAGATTCTTTCTTTATACTTTTTAATAGGTTTCTCTAAAAAACAGATGTGTTATTTCTCTTCATAATTAATAAGTTGCCATTCCAGGAATCACAATAATTACTGATATAAGAGGTATGGTTTGTGGTTTGTAGAGTAGGATTTAATGAGTAAATCTTTCTAGTCCCTCTGGAATTGAGCTATTTTTTTTTTTTTGTAAGCTTTTTTTTTTTTTTTTTAAGTACAATCATGGTAACAGATCTGGATGATACTGAATGGCTGTTACTGTTGACTGAAATAAAACAGACTTTTAACAGCTCATGGGTAATGTCTTAAAGGTAGAATGACAAAAGAGAAATGTCTGTGTCCCATTCTGAAAATAGCAAAAGGCAAGAGGCATATGGAACCAAAAGTGACTTCATTGTAAATTTAATCCTACTGTAAAAGCTTTGGCATAATGAAAATTGTGTCATGATTTCTTTTTTGCACAGGTAATACTAAGAATGGAAAATAATTAAGACAAAGTGTTGAAGGTTGTAATTGCTGATTTTGTAAATAATCTCAAAGTGTGTGAATGAGTTTTTTAAGTCATACATTAATTGAAAAGAAAATTATGAGAATTTTTCCAAAACTGAGGATGTAAAGATACCAGTTTTGTAGCTGTTTAGAAGTGTAAATTAATCATATTGGTTTTTTAAAAAATATTTTTAGTTGTAGGTAGACAGTGCTAAAGATTGAACCCAGTACTTCACATGTGTGAGACAAGTGCTCTACCACTGAGCTACAACCCAGCCCAATCACGTTGTATTATTCTCTATCATGTTGTATTATTCTCTAGTTTGGTAGAAAACTGTAAGTTTCTAAAATAATTGTGAAATACAGTGATTTAACCTTAGACTTTGTCTTCTTATCAGTCATTTAGTAGAAGAAGTAGGATTTTTTTTTTTTTTTTTTTTTTGAGACATGGTCTTGCTTTTGTTGCCAAGCCTGGCCTCAAACTCCTGGGCTCAATAATACTTCTGCCTCACTCTCCTGAGTAGCTAGGATTATAAGTGTGGATCACTTATAAGTAGAAGGATTGTAAATGTTAAGTATGGTTACTTACTTATTCATTTATTGCGTTTAGTACTGGGGATTGAACTTAGGGGTGCTCTACCACTAAGCTATGTCCCCAGCCCTTTTCATTTTTTTTTATTTTGAGACAGGGTCTCATTAAGTTGCTCATGCTGGCCTCAAATTTCAAATCTTCCTTTCTTAGCCTACTTAGTAGTTGGGTTTATGGTATGCACCACTGTGCCTGGTTGAGTTTAGTACTTTGAAATAATTGATGTAAACTTCATCTGAAAACAGTAATAATTAAACTTAGAAGGTAATAAATAGTTAAAATGTAGAATCTTGTTCTACCAAAAGGAAATTAGGGGAAAATATCCAAATGTGTGGTTATTTTTGATTCTTAATAGGAGTGAATTTTGTATCAGTTGTGGCTTATTCTCTCTTCTGCTTGACTTAAAACTTGGAACATACTTAGTTGCACAACTTTTGAATTTAAACTAAGTTTATAGTTTGACTTTCAACAAACAAACTATATTTCCCTATATTATCACAAATGGTATTTAGAGATGTTAAAGAGAACTTGAAAGATTTCTGGTAAAGGTAATGAATTTTATTTAGAGATGAATGATAGAATGGAAATTTAGATAAATGAAAACAAAGATTTCTGGTTTTTTTTTTTTAAAGAAGGTAGTGTCTTACCAGATGCAGTGACACACACCTATAATCCCAGCTAGTTATGAGGTTGAAGCTGGAGGATTGCAAGTTAGAGGCCATCCTCAGCAACTGGGAGACTTGCTCTCTCAGAATAAAAAATTTAAAAATACCTGTAATCCCAGAGGCTCAGGAGGTTGAGACAGGAGAATTGCAAGTTCAAAGCCAGCCTCAGCAACAGTGAGGCAGTAAACAACTCAGTGAGACCCTGACTCTAAATAAAATACAAAATAGGGCTGGGGATGTGGCTCAGTGGTCCAGTATCCCTGAGTAAATCCCCGGTACCAAATAAATAAATAGATAGGTAGATAGAACTAGTGAGCTGGAGGTGTTATGCAGTGGTAGAGCACTCCTGGGTTCAATCGCCAGTGTTTCCCCACCCACTTTCAAAAAGTGAAATTCTCTTTACAACACTTTCTTCTCTGCTTGGCACTATTTTATGATTAGTTAAATAGTGAATATGCTTTGATTATTGTCAGGTTATATCCAATTGATTTGTTTTTTTTTTTTTTAAATTCTAGTAGTCTAAATAAAAATGAGTGGGAGAAAACTATGAAAAGTGAAATATGGCAGAGACAAAGTGTATCTATTCATTTCTGAACTTTTCACCTTTTTCACTTTTAAAACAAAGATACAGACACTACTGTAAAGGGAACCGTGGATGACTTTGGCCTACGAGACACTTCCAGCGTTGCATCAACTGATTCCTTTGCTTCGGTAGCAGAGGTAGGAAGGACATGTATATTCCTAAATATTCTTAGTGAAAATTTTTCTTTCTTTTTCAGCAAGAGTACAATTTTTCCATTGTACTATAATTTCATTTTGGTTACCATTTATCTAGCACCATTTATTAATATGGGGGATACCAGGATACAGGGATATAAACTCCCACAGGATCTTATAGTCTCTATAAGGAGGTGGTTGTATAAACACATTCTCTAAATGAGCACTTTCATAGGCTGAGACATATGAAGTTATCTTAATGGAAAACAATTTTCATCTTATTTAAAAAGTTTTTAAAAATTCAGATTTTTTTTAGTTCACAAATAATACTTGTAGATATTTGATCCAAGGAAGTGATTAGATTCAAAGATGAGTATATAAAAATGTTCACTGACATTTTAATAATAATGAAAAACTGAAAGCAATACAATGCCCAATAGTGGACATCTATTACTTGAAATATTTTCAGCCATAAATGTTTTTGATAACTTTTAATAGCATGGTAATGTATCTTAAGTGAAAAGTATGGAAAGTTTTATATAGAGCATATGATTATAATTTTGTAAAAAGAAAAATGTGGTATATTATACAAATATATAGGCACAGGGATAAAGCTAGATATAAATTCACTAATGTGTAAATGTTGGTGATCATTGAATACCCATAAATGTGTGGGTCATTTATTTTCTACTGAGACCTCTTGTAAAGAGGTCAGCTTTTTATAATTTTTTAACCTTAAAACAATACAAGGGGCTGGGATTGTGGCTCAGCTATAGGGTGCTCCCCTAGCACGTGGGAGGCCCTGGGTTGGATCCTCAGGACCACATAAAAATAAATAAAATAAATATGTTGTGTCCAGTTACAACCAAAAAATAAATATTTTTAAAAATCACATATTACCAGTTTTACCTCATAATATCTGCATTTTTATGGCAGATTTGTGGTATTGTCTTTTTTCATTTAAACTGTATTATGTATCTTCAATGATGTGAGAATTTACTTTGTGTCCTAAACCTTGATTCTCCCTTTTTTAAAGCAGTACTAATCTACAGTCTCTTTCTTTCTTTTTCTTTTTCTTTTTTTTTTTTAGTTGTCAATGGGCCCTTATTTGTTTATTTATGTGTGGTGCTGAGATTTAAGCCGAGTGCCTCATACATGCTAGGTGAGCACTCTACCACTGAGCTACAACCCCAGTCCTACAGTCTTTTTCATCCTTTAAAGATTTTTCTGTGTATTTTAACCATTACTAACAGTGTCACCTCCTGAATTATTTGCATTTAAAAAAATTTATTTGTTCTAACTAGTTATACATGACAGTATAACAGGCAGGCATAAGCCACTAAGTTTGGTAGTTAAGTACACTTAAAACAATTCTCATGGAAAACAAAATGTATGAATATACATAAGAAGAACTCAGTATCCAAGAAACATCCTAGGAGTGCTAGAAGGGAATAAAAGTATGATCTCTGAATACAAATGTTCCAAATTAAATTTTTTTATGTTATGAAATGTTTGTTAAATTATTTTAAATTACATTTACTATATGTGAAGCACTTAATTAGGGAAAACTGTTATAATGGGGAAGGTTATTAAGAAAATAAGATCAAAAATCTTTGGGAAGTAAAACAGCGTTTGAGCATATAAGAATTTTATGCAGAGTTATCAGAAAGAACTGGATGGCATAGCTCAATTGTAGAGTACTTGCATGCACAAGGCACTTGATTCAGTCCACAGCACAAGGGGATGGGAAGAATTAGCAGAAAGATTTCTTGCCTGTTTAAAATAGTTCTGCACATAAGCTTTTCTCTAAGCTTGTCAATCATTTGTGAAACTGATTAATAAGATTTCCCTATATAAGCTTTGCTGAACATTGATTTGTAACCACAGTTGAAAAGTCTTTCTTTTCTAAAGTATAGCAGACACTTGGCTTTCAAAAAAAAAAAGTCTTTTCTTCTTTATTTCTTTTTTTATATAATAGCTTCATAGAGATGTAAGTCACATGCCAATTAATGCAGCCTCTTGAAGTGTACAGTTCAATGATTTTTAGTATATTCACAGAGTTGTGCAAACAATGCTACATTTTAATTCCAGAATATTTTTATTATCCCTAAAATAAACATGCACCTAGCAGCACCTCAAAAAAAAAAGGAAGAAAGAAAGAAAAGAAAATGTCTAATAGTCTCCTTCACAAACCCCAAAATCAAAATTATCAAAATCAAAATTTTCAGAACTCCAAAAACAGGCCGGGTGCAATGGAGCACAACACCTGTAAATCTAGCAACTTGGGAGGCTGAGGCAGAAGGATCATGAGTTCAAAGCCAGCCTCAGCAACTTAGCAAGACTCTAAGCAATAATTTAGCAAGAACTTGTCTCAAAATAAAAAATTTAAAAAATGGACGGGTTATGTGGCTCAGTGGTTAAGTATCCCTGGGTTCAATCCCTGGTACTAAACAAACAAACAAAAAAAAACTAAAAACTGAGAATAGACTAGCAAAATTTCAGAGTATTTATTTAAGAAAAATGGTAGACTTCTTATAAGAGCTTTGTACATTTTTATTCTGCTCAGTTCCTATCTCTCTCTTTCTCTCTGTGGTAGTGTTGAAAACCAAATATTGTAATTATGGTTGGGAAAAACAGTCTGGCAGCCACTGGAAGGAACTTAAGGGCATTGACACTTCCCGAAAGACCCATCCCTAGAGAACTGACAGTCTGACCTCTATAGCAGCTCCTTGCTAATTCCATTCTCAGGTCTTATCTTTATGTGACCTAATTTGGAGTTCACCCTGTGCACAAAGTCCCTTTTTAAAAAGAATCAGTGGCAGTTGTTTACCATCACAGGTACCTGAAGTGATAATACCAGATGGAGCAAAAGAGAAACTCACTAAGAACCTTAAAAGGAAAAACTGGGCAATGAGATGTTCAAAAGAGGCTTTGGAAAACTCCATCATATTCCTGGAAATCCAGAAAGTCTCATGCACGTATAGTGCTATGCACACAGCTAGGAAGAAACATAGACATCCCTAGTCCCTCACCTCTGGCTGACCTTGATATTCTGTACAATCAGGAAATATAACTTAAGTCATACAAAAGAAAAAAAAATATTGATTAATTAGACTTTATTAAAATTGAACTTTTGTGCCTCAAAGGACACCAAAAAAAAGTGTAAAGATAACAGAATAGGAGAAAATATTTGTAAATTATATATCTGATAAAGAGCTTGTATTTAGGACTGTTTTTTCTAGTTCTCTGAAGAATGTCATTAGTATTTTAATGGGAATTGCCTTGAATCTATATATTGCTTTTGGTAATGTGGCCATTTTAACAGTATTAATTCTGCTTATCTGTGAACATGGGAGGTATTTCCATCTGAGGTCCTCTTCAATTTCTTCCTTTAGCGTTCTGTTGCTTTCATTGTAGAGGTATTTCACCTCCTTGGTTAGATTTATTCCTAAATTGTGTTATTTTAGTGTTTTGTTTTGTTCTGTTTGCAGCTATTGTGAATGGAATTGTTTTCCTGATTTTTTTCTCAGCAGATTCATTACTGGTATTTAGGAAAGTTACTGGTTTTCATATGTTGATTTTGCAACCTGCTACTTTGATGAATTCATTAGCACTAGCAATCTTTTGGTGGAGTTTTTTTGATCTTCCAAGTATAGGAGTATATCATCTGCTAACAGTAATAATTTGACTTCTTCCATTCCTATTTTTATCCTTTTTATTTTCTTTCTCTTGCCTAATTTCTCTGACAAGAGTTTGTATTTAGAATGTGTAAAGAAATTTTATAACTCAATAATAAATGAATAAATAACCCAATTTAAAAATGGGCATCCAGGCCAGGTGTGGTGGTGCACGCCTGTAATCCCAGTGATTTGGGAGGCTGAAACATGAGTATCACAAGTTCAAAGCCAGCCTGAGCAACTTAATAAGACCCTCAGCAACTTAGTTAGACTCTGTCTCAAAATAAAAAATGGGCTGGGGATGTGGTTCAGCGGTAAAGGGCTCCTGGGTTCAATCTTCAGTACCAAAAAAAAAAAAAAAAAAAGCATCCAGGTGGTGCTTGCCTGTAAATCCCAGCTACTTGGGAGACTGAGGTAAGAGGATCACAAGTTCAAGCCCAGCTTGAGATATTCGACAAGACTCTATCTCAAAATAAAAAAGGGCTAAGGTGGGTAGTTCAGTGGGAGAGTGCCCCTGGAATTAATCCTCAGTACCAAAAAATAAAATAATTTTTTAAAAAGGCAAAGCGATTAAATAGACTTTCTCAAAAGAAAATATACAAATGGTCTATAAAAATGAAAAAATATTTAGCATCATTAGTTATTTGAGAATTCAGATCAATTCACATCCACTCTGGTAGATGTATTCAAAAAGATGGACAAGAACAGTTGTTATTAAAAATAAGTAAAAATATGAAGTCTGTTACATTGCTGATCATATTAGAAAATGGGCAGCCACTGTAAGATAGTCTGGAAGTTCCCTAAAAAGTAAAACAAAGTAACCATCTGACCCTCTCATTCCTAGGGGTATACCAGGAGAATTGAAAACATCTATCTACACAAAACTTTATACACAAATATTCATAGCAGCTATACTCATGATAGCCAAAATTTTAAAACAAATGTCCATCAGTTGTGAGGAATGGATAAACAAAATATGGTATACATTCATACAATGGAATTTTATTCAGCTATAAAAACAAGTGAAGTACTAATATAGGCTACATCATGATTGAACCTTGAAAACATTATGCTAAGTGAAAGAAACCAGACACAAAAGGACACATATTGTTTGATTTCATTTATATGGAGTAGGGAACTCCATAGAGCCTGCAAATAGATAGTGGTTTCCAGGATATAGGGATTGAGAGATATAGGATTGAGAGAGATTACTGAAAGGTAGGGGGTTTCTTGGTGGAGTGATAAAAATATTCTCAAATTAGAAAATAGTGCTTGTTGCATAACTCTGAATATACCAAAAGCACTGAATTGTATGCTTTAAAAGGGTGAATTTTGTGATATGTGAATTGTATCTCAGTAAAACTATTATTTAAAAGAAAATGTAGCTAGACACAGTGATACATACCTGTAATCCCACCTACATAGGAGACAAGGTAGAAGATGGTGACTTTGAGGCAGCCTGGGAAATATAGCAAAACCTGTCTCAAAATAAAATCAAAAGGGCTGGGGCCAGGCATGATGGTGCACACTTGTAATCCCAGCTACTTGAAAGACAGAGGCAGGAGGATCACAAGTTGAAAGCCAGCCTTGGTAATTTGTCTCAAAAAAAAAAGAGGATTGGGGATGTAGCTCACTGGTAAAGAGCTGATCCCCAGTATCACCCCCCAAAACAAAACAAAAAAAATAAAAAACAATGGGGAGATTGGGAATGGGAATGTAGCTTAGTGAGAGAGCACTTGCCTAGCATGGGCAAGACCCTGGATTCCCCAGTAACACAAGGGGGAAAAGTGCAGTGTATCATTAAATGGATCACTTCATATTGAAAAATAAAATTACTCTAGAGGGTTTTTGTTAAGTTGGCTCCTCTATAGTATTTGCAGTTATTTTTTAAATGAACTGTCAGAAGGCTGGAATTTGTAGAGTTGTTTTGCTAGCCAGAAGAACATGACTTTGAGTTACACAAAGTTTAATCAAAGCTAAATATAAGGCAGAATTTCTTAGAATAGCCAAGTCAAGCTTATTTCCATGTTTTTGTAGAAAGTTTTGCTTCATGAGTTATACTTTTAAGTACTCTTTGGATGATAAAAATCCTCCTCCTCCTCCTCCTCATCTTTCTCTCTGTCTCTCTCTCAACACTACTGGGGATTGAACCCAGGCTTTGCACATGTTAGACAAATGCTCTACCACTGAGCCAACCCTTTTTATTGTATTTTGAGACAGAGTTTTGCTAAATTGCCCAGGCTGTGGTCAAACTTATGATCCTCCTGCATCCTGCCTCAGTCTCCCAAGTAACTTGAACTACAGGCAATGAACTACCACACCTAGCTTCTCTCTCTTTTTCTAATGCATCCTGTTCAGTTATTATTATTGATAAATAATAAGATGTTGCTTATTTATGTACCCTGTGAATTTAAATGTTTGGATTCAAAATGAACGAAGCTTCTTAACAAAATTTTACTCCTGAACAACTGAATTTTGAAGTAAATTAGGTTTTATTAGCTATAAAATGTTAGTGAAGATTTTGTTTTAATCAAATTTAGTGTATTTTGATAATAGGGAAATCCCATTTTTTTCTTTTAGTTCCTCCTGTTATATCAGTGTCAACTGTGTTAACACTGTATTCCTAGCTTGCAGAACACAGAGAAATACGGCATACCTACAGCTTGGAATCTTTTTGCCGCTGCCCTTTTTATGAAGAAGCCATGCATTTAGTTGAAGAAGGAAAAATTTACTCCAGAGTACTGAGGTACCTCTCCTGTTTAGTGTCTGTTTATGGAAAATATTAAGTTGCTGTTACTATGTTTGTGTGGTATTTACTCAAACTATGTTTATGAGAATAAAGAAAAATGTTTTCGGTCCAGGTAGAAAAGAAGTTCTTTCACATGTTCTGTCAGTATAGGGAAGATATATATTTTATGTTGAGGTCCTGAGGTTTAGCCTTGTTTGAGTTCAATTTGTACTCAGCTTGACCTTGAATGAAGTTTAACAGTTGTCTTCCCTATTTATTACACAGAACTGAAATGTTGGAGTGCCTGGGAGACAGTGATTTTCTTGCCAAACTTCATTGTATTCGACAGGCTTTTCAGGTATTTTTTCAAACATTAAGTGACTTTACCTACCACTCATCTTCACCCTTTTGATATAAAGCTTACTAGGGTATATTTTTCCTCCCTGCTACTTGGTTTCCGTTTGTCATTGTACTTTTCTGTGGCTTCCCAAGTCCACTGCACTTTGTCAAATCAGTAATAGTATTTTGATTCTATAAGTATCTAAAAATGACTGCTTAAGAGCTGGGCATGGTGGTGAACACCTGTAATCCTAACAACCCAGGAAGTTGAGGCAAGAGTATCCCAAGTTTGAGGCCAGCCTCAGTAATTTAGCAAGACTCTGTCTCAAAATAAAAAATAAAAAGGGCTGGGGGATATAGCACAGTGGTAAAGCACCCCTGGGTTAAATCCCCAGTACCTAATTCCCTCAAAAAAAGCTGAGCTTGTAGCTCAGTGAACCCCTGAGTTCAGTCCCCCGATACTGCTCAAAAAGGGTTGAGGCTATTTAAAAATCATCCTTGTTATTATCAATTGGTTTGTATTTTAGGGTTTTTAAAAGTCATTTTCTAAAAAGAAATGAAATCTTATATTTGGGGACTGTATAAATTTATTTTAGACTTTTTGATTATATTGAACAAAATCTAATTTCAGATTTATCTCCCTTTAATATTTTTTTTGTTCATAGGTCTCAAAGAGCTTTTTATTTTAGTAAATGTGGACTTTTTTTAATTTAGTAAATGTAATGTATTAGCTATATTAAGGTTATTTATGTGTGGATGTGCTATAAAGTTGGATGTCCAATTTTATTATAGGTCTCTTTTTACTTTGTTTGGGATGGATATTTTTTCAGGTGATTCTTTCAGAAACAGCCAACAGGATATTCCTTGCAGAGAGTGGAAGGAAAATTTTGTCAGCTTTAATTGTGAAAGCACGAAAGGTAAACTTCTTTTGCTAGCAAGTTTTTTTATTATTATTTTCATTTAACTGAAGATTAAAGTACATTAGTTTTTTAATGGTTGAAAAGTTTTTGTAGATAGTTGCAAAGGTTCACATATTAAAAATAATCTAGGGGCTGGGGTTGTAGCTCAGTCGCAGAGCACTTGCCTATCATATATGAGGCACTGGGTTCAATCCTTAGCACCACATACAAATAAATAAAAAATAAAGGTACATCAACAACTCAAAAATATTTTTAAAAATAATAATAATCTAAAGCTGGTTGCGGTGGAGCACGCCTGTAATCTCAGTGGCTTAGGAGGCTGAGGCAGGAGGAATGTGAGTTCAAAGCCAGCCTTAGCAATAGCAAGACACTAAGCAACTCAGTGAGACCCTGTCTGTAAATTAAATATAATATAGGGCTGGGGATGTGGCTGGTGGTCGAGTGCCCCTGAGTTCAATCCCTAGTACTCCCCCCAAAAAATAATAATCTAAGCCAAGCTGTGCATAGTGACACAAATCTATAATCCCAGCAACTGGGGAAACTGAGGGAAGAGGATTGCAAGGCCAGCCCTGGCAACTTAGTGAGAACTTGTCTCAAAATTAAAAAATAAAATGGCTAGGGATGTGGCTCAGTAGTTAAGCACACCTGGGTTCAACCCCTGGTACTAAAAAAAAAAAAAAAAAAAGAAAAAAAAACTAGGGATATAGCTCAATGGCAGAGCATCCTTGGATTCAATCCCCAGTACCACAAAATTATCATCATCATCATCATCATCATCATCATCATCTAAACTGGACACGGTGGCTCATGCCTGTAATCCCAGCTGCTTTAGAAGCTGAGGCAGGAAGACCTCAAGTTTGCGACCAGCCTGGACAATTTAGTGAGACACTGTCTCAAAAGGAGTGTGAAAGTAGCTAAATGATAAGTACTTACCCAAGATGCTTACCTAGGTTCAATCCCCAGCACCTCAAAATAATAGTAAAATCATCATCATCATCATCATCATCATCATCCAAAGAACATTGATTTCTACTTGGGTTGTTATTTCCTATGTATAATATCCATACTTTTTTGACTAAGTTGTTTTGCATGAATTATTCCCAATTTGCCATAAAGTTTGTGATTGTCATGGTAAGATCATCATTAGATCTGCTATTATAGCCACCACTGTTATTATGACTAATAATACCTCTTCTTTTACCTTCCTTAATCCTGTTCAGGAAGAAGGTTAAAGGACAGAATATTCAGAAATCTGGAATACAAATAGAGATGCCTCTTACCTATCTTCATAGGACTGAATAAAGTAGATACAAGGACAGAACTTCATTCAGACTATAAGGAATCACTTTATTTTATGCAGTTTGTCTAGATGATGAGAGAAAAATAAAATAAAAAGGGCCTTCCTTGAATCATTTGCATGTACTTGGTTAAGTATTAAGTAAACATAAGGTGATATTAACTACTTGTAATTCCCAGTGTAAATCTTGTGTTCTTTCTTGGCCTTCTCATAGCAGATAAAACCAGGGATTTGAACTTGAGTTCTTCCAAAACAAGAGGAACCACAAAAGCATCTCATAATGGCTGCTAAAACATATTTTCATCTTAAAGACTGACCTAAATAGGCATACATATTTGAGTAATAAACAGTTTGATTTGACTTTTTATTACCATTCTCATTCTTGACTTCTGAAAAATATTAGAAAAACAAAATAGTAAATGAAATAAATGTGCATACCTTGAAAAATTATTTCAATTCAGTTACTTAAAATAATTAAGATTCAGCAAACTTACTTGAAAAGTAACTTATTTATTTTGTAGGCTTGAGTTTAGGATTAAAATGTGTTTTCATCTGCAGAATCCAAAGAAGTTTGAAGATGTTTTTGATGAAATGATGTATTTTTTAGAGCAAACTGATCACTGGGCTAGTACTGAAATGGAACTTGCTGCCAGAGGGGTAAATTCAAAATTTTTATAATTTCTAAACTTTTCTTCATTATTTGTGCATGTTTATATGAGTTGAGGCCTTTGTTTCATTGTTAAGTTATAGTAAAACCAATTTTGTGGTGGTAGGGCAGTGTTCTGACAGAGTCATAAACAATAGAAACTGTACTTTTTTATACTTGGGCCAATTGTGGTAAACAACTTTTAAAAAAACCTTCGTTTCCTCTATTCACCCCTCTTTCCTTCCTCCTTTCTTTTCTACCTTCTTTCCATCTAAAAGTCAATTGGCAGTCTCCAGCAAGGCAGTAATGGTGTCCTATGCAAGTGGTTTCAGATAAGACAATAGTCTGCTCAGTGGAGCTGGGGATTGGTTACAAGAATTGAACAAATAAATTTATTGAGAAGAATCAGAGGCAGATTCTTACTGTTGGAGAAGGAAGGTATAAAAAGTCAAGATTAGAATTGGAGCTATCAGTGTGAATTTATAGATTCTAATGTATATTATTGTAGAAATAAATATAAATAGAAAAATTTGCATGAACATAAATAATATTTCCTAGCCCTGTCCATTGAGAGGATCTGGAAGCAACAATATTAGAAAAAAAAATTATTCTCAGCACACAGATCTTGGATTTCTAATGACCACATTCCACTAAAAACAAAATAGGACTCCTTGGGAAAATAACTTATTTCAGTGCTGAGACAGAAAGAGCACATGATAAGCCTGGAGCATCTTGTTGTAGTAGCTTAAAGAATGAATTTAAAAGGCACCAAAAGGCATTCTAAGCAGGAAAAAACAGGTTTATAACATAGAGGCATAATTTTTCCTTCTATAGTGTTCCTTTATTCAATGAATGGGATCAGTATCCTTTCTGTTCTATAAGCCAGAAACCTCAGTCTCATCCTTTACCCTTCCCTGGTCCTCTCCCACTTTTTCATATTCATCTCTAAGTTTTGTCAATTTTATCTCTTAAATATATTTTAATTTCTTCAACTTTTCTCTATTTCTGTCTCTACTATCTTGGCCTAAGTGTCTGTTACCTTTCTTCTGACCCACCTCAGAATCTTTGTGTTCCCTGATTCCCTGCCTAGCCCCCAACTCCCACCACCACTTTACTCTTTCCATTCTCTGTTCCACTTTCTACACTGTTACCAAAATGATCTTTAAAAAATACAGTTGGAGCTGGGTGTGGTGGTGCATACCTGTACTCCCAGTGACTCAGGAGGCTGAAGCAGAAGGATCACAAATTCAAAGCCAGCCTCAGCAACTTAGCAAGGTCCTAAGCCACGTAGTAAGACCCTGTCTCAAAATAAATAAATAAAAAGTGATGGGGATGTGGCTCAGTGGTTAAGCACCCCGGGTTAGATCACGAGTACAATCAATCAATCAATCAATCAATCATGGGTCTCTCTCTTCTATCATCCCCAATCCCATCCTGCACCCCAAATATTGTGAGAATGAAATGGAATCTCATTCACATGGGCCATAAATCCCTGCAGGATCCAGCCTTTCATTCTTGGATCTTGCCACTCTCTTGTAGAGTGCTACACCATTCTTTCAATGATTTCTTTCAATTCAACACCATTTTGTTCCTTCTCACCTTAAAGTCTCTGATAAGAATTTTTTCTACCTGGGAAGCCTCATTCCCCAAGAAAAGCTCTGTCTGGCATCCAGCTTAAAATCAAAATCTCCATTTTTGACTCTCATGTACTTTCTCATTTATTGTGCTTGTCAGAATTTGTCATTGGATGTTTGTGAGATTATTTTGTTGCTGTTTTCCCGACTAGACAAAAGGCATCAGTTTGCTTACTGTAGAAGTCTAAGCACTTAGTCTAGCATATGTTATATAACAATCTATATGAAGGAATGAAAATCAGGAGGTTTGTGATCTGGTGGGAAGATAAGTAGATATACTAATAACTAAGTAACAAAGTAGAATGAACATTATGGATGATCTAATGGAAGCCTGAAAAGGACTCATAAAATAAAGAGTAATGAGAAATTAATTGTACTTGATGAGATCCAGGAAGGAGCAGCTTCCATGTGAATTGTAATTTCTGGGGGTGATATTTCATATTTAACTCTTCTCTTCATCTCTGTGAGAAATACAATCAGATTTGACTCAGAAAACAGAAAACCTTGCTGTTACCCAAGTATGAAACCTTGACTCAGACTTTATTCCATCTCTCTGTAATAATAATTTATGTTTTAATTCCCAATGTAATGCAGGTGAAAAATCTAAATTTTTATGATGTTGTTCTGGATTTTATATTAATGGATTCTTTTGAAGACCTAGAAAACCCACCAACATCCATACAGAATGTAGTAAATAATCGCTGGCTGAACTCTTCCTTCAAAGAAACTGTAAGTGGAGTTAGGGATGTAGCTCAAGTGGTAGCAAGCTTGCCTGGCATGCATGAGGCACTGGGTTTGATCCTCAGCACCACATAAAAATAAAATAAAGATATTGTGACTACCTAAAAAACCTAAAAAATAAATACTTTTAAAAAAAAAGAAACTGTAAGTGGTGATTTTCCTTTCTTAGCCATTTAAATTTTATAAGAAAATGATCAGAACTGAGGAAAACAATAAAATTTACATATATATATATCTGCCTGTGGAATGACTACCGTGGAAACTGAGCTCATTCTCTGATAGTAGAATCAGATACGTATATATATATCACACCTTCAGATGAGTTTCTCCTTTTGACCCTTTTACCAGTCCTAGCCTTGATCTGGTAAACCTCATATTTCTTCAGATCTCTAAAGAAACTCAGACTTCAGATAGTTCAGGCCTAACAAAAAAATTATCTGTAATGCAAATGGCTGAAAGACTAGACTAAAATATGGAAGTTATAGTTTTTTTTAAATGACAATGTATATTTTTAAGAGGAAAATAGAGATATTTATATTCCTAAATATTATCAAAAGTTTGGAGAAGCTGGTTATGATGGCACAAGCCTGTAATCCCAGCAAATGAGGAGGCAGTGGCAGAAGGATGACAAGTTTGAAGTCAGCCTCAGCACCTTAATGAGACTGTCTAAAAATAAAAAGGCCTGGGCTGGGCACAGTGCACACGCCTGTAATCCCAGTGGCTTGGGAAACTGAAACAGGAGGATCTTGAGTTCAAAGCCAGCCTCAGCAAAAACAAGGTGCTAAGCAACTCAGTGAAACCCTGGCTCTAAATAAAATACAAAATAGGGCTGGGGATGTGGCTCAGTGGTTAAGTGCTCCTGGGTTCAATCCCTGGTACCAAAAATAAAATAAAATAAAAAGATCTGGAGATACAGTTTAGTGATAAAGTGCCCAATTTCAATCCCCAGTACAAGGTAGAGGGTGGGGGGAGCAGAAAAATAGAGAAAGAAAGAAAATTATGAGAGAAAAAATTGGCAGCTGTAAAAATAAGATAGGCTCAAGCCATATTTTATACTTTGAATATTCTCAGTCTATTTATTATATTTAATTCTCTGACCTTGATTTTTGATGGGCTTTAAATATGCATCTAGAAGTAAGTTAGTTCCTATTGGAAGTTTCACAATTATTTTGAAATTTCCTCATTATTCATTTTTGTGTTGGGGATTGAACCCAGGGCCTTGTGCATGGTAGATAATGTAGTCTCCCACTGAATTACAACCCTAACCTTCATATTAAGTTTTAAAGTATTTTTAGTTTTTGAAGTATTTTTATAAATCTACCTTCTTCTGATTTAAATTTTTTTAATCATAGGAAGTATGTGTTCTTCATTTCTGGAATTTGTTTGGTAAAGTGACCTTCATCAAAGTTAGGTCATGCAAGAGTAGAGTCAGAATTCTTCAGAATGTGCTGAATAAGTTTATTTTATTTATTTATTTATTTATTGTCCTATCATGGTTATAATTTCATACTTCTTAAATAAAAATGTTTACTCACAAATATTTCCTTTTTTTGAAGGAAAAAGTACTACTTTGTTTCATTTTTACACATGGAACATTTGTTTATGTATGTGCATCTATATACATATATTTTCATTTTTCCCCTCAGAATATAAGATAAGAACTCTTAAGAATTTAATTGTAATTGAAGCATCAGATTAAACCTTTTTTCTTTAGGGGTTATATATTTAAATTTTAAATTTGTAAAAATGAAGTATCTTTTTATTAAAGTTTACAAGCAATATAAGGAACCTGGACTAAATAAGAAATTATAAATGGGACATTTTATTCCCCTGAACTTTGAATTATAATAAAAATCACCCTTTTCTAAAAGGAAATGTTGGTGTGGCTGTAAATTTAATCTTGTCTTTCTCTTCTGCATGTATTTAGGCTGTGGCTTCAAGTTGTTGGTCAGTGCTGAAACAGAAAAGGGAACAGATGAAGGTAAAACCCATTATTCCCTAAATTCCTGTCTTAGTGCATTTTCTGTTGCTAAAACAGAATACCTGAGACTCACTAATTTGTAAGGAAAGAAGTTTATTCAGTTCATGGTTCTGAAATGGTAAGTCTAAGATCTGCCAGCTATGCTGGTGAGATGCTTCAACTCAGGATGGAAAGCAGAACATGCAGGCCCATAGGGAAGAGGCAAAACACCAGGGACAGCCTTACTTTATAATAGTCTGTTCTCATGATAATTAATGCAGTCTGACTAGACTTGAGAAAGGCACTAATCCATCACATGGGCAGCACCTCCATGACCAAGGCACCTCCCATTAGGCCTTACCTCCCAGCACTGCTGCATTAAGAACCAAACCACAACATGAATTTGGTGGGGACAAACCATAGCAGCTATTTTGTGAAACAATTTGAGGATCTTATCAATAAAATATGTCAGTTCTCATATAAGGATGGCAGCTAATAATAGGGACTATCCCTCAAGCTTGATGAGTGACTTATTGGTACTGGGTCCTTTTTTTGAATGCCTTCTCCCTTTTCCTTAATGTTCTGTATAATTCAGTATAGCAAGTATTGAGGCATATGTGAGATTTCAACTAAAGATATTTAGGGTTAGAATAGCTCTAATAGGGCTTTTATGTTTTTTTTTAATTTAATGATATTATTTTTAAAAATTAGTAATATAGTGGTCTCTCCTTCATATAATCCAACTGAGAATTAATGATTTGATTCTAATAGCTGCTTTATTTAGTTCTAGGTACTTACCCCAAAAGTCTCAAAAGTTTGTAGCCCATTTCATCCACTACATATTGCTCTCACCATACAGTACTGGTGACTAAAGACATAAACTCTGAAGTGAGATTCAGATGCTACTTATTAACAATGTGACCTTGGGCAAGTTGCTTAACCTCTGTGTGCCTCAATTCCCTTGTCTCTAAAAAGAGGATAATAATAGTATCTACCTCATAGGATTGTTTTTTGTTTTGTTTTGTTGAGACAGAATCTAGTTATGTTGCTAAGGCTGACTTCCAACTTGGTTATCCTCCTTCCTCAACCTCCCAAGAAGCTGGAATCAAAAAGTGTGCTACCACACCCAGTTCCTCATGGGATTTGTTGTGAATATACAATGTAAAGTGCTCAATAGTGCTTAGCATAGTGCATTATGCAAATATTGCCCGTTTCTATATTATTTGCTCAAGGACCTGTAATATTTTATCATCCATATTTTTAATTCAGTATTTATTAACCTTGATAATGCCAGGAATGTAATCCTCAAAATATCTTCAGTACGTGCTGTTAGAAATAATTTTAGTTGGAGGTGGAATTGTAGCTCAGGTGCAAGGCCCTGAATTCAATCCCCAGCACCACCAAAGAAAGAATTCCAGAGACCCTATATTTGAATAATTCTTATTTCAGATTTTTCCAGAAGCCCTATATTTTAAACAGGTTCTGCATTAGTCCATTTGTCATCTTTTGTGTTGTTACCAAAGTACCCAATAAGAATAACTTAGAGGAGGGAAAGTTTATTTGGGGCTCACAATTTCAGTGGTCTCAGTCCATAGATGGCCAACTCCATTTCTCTGGGCCTAAGATGAGGCAGAGACATCTTTTAGACATTATCAGGGAAGGACCTAGCTCAAGGTGGGATTAGGAAGATTGGGGTACGGGCCCCACAGGGAACATGCACCCTTTAGAACATACCCCAGTGACCTATTTTCTCCAGCCATGCCCCACCTGTTTACAGTTACCACCTCGTTAGTCCATTCAAACTAGGGTGAGACTGATTAGGTGACAGCTCTCACAGTCTTAATTATTTCACTTCTAAACATTCCTACAGTAACACAGGAGCTTTTGGGGGGATACCTCACATTCAAATCATAACGTGTTTCCTAAATGATTATTATAAATGATAATGTTTGAAACTGGTTTAGCACTAGAAAACAGATTTTTGTAGACTGTGATTCTCATACTAGCTAGCACAATCATGGCAAATACCAACCATTAGCTGACCTTCAGTTTTCCCATTTGCAAAATGGAGTTAATGTCTACTTTTTAAAACTACTGTCAGTATGAAATGAGATAATATCAATGATATAACAAATTTAATTTAAACATAAAGTTAAAAGTAATCTTAAAAGATTTTAATAAGCAACAGTTTCCATAATGATAGTAATAGCATCATTACCAATAGTTCTGTTTTCTCCTCCTTTCCCTCCAATCCAGTACTGGGGATTGAGCCCAGGAACTCACACTTGCTAGGCAAGTACTCAACCACTGCACTACATCACCAGCCCTGTTTCCTACTTCTTAGAGTGAATACTATGCTTCATTCTAGTCTTCTTTCAATATCCACAAATACCTATAAATCTCACCTTTGGAAGAACTATTTTCTATGTATGGAATGTAAAACTTCCCTTTATACTTAAATAAATCTAATCTACTATTGAGTTCGGCTCTCAATGTTCCTTGCCAAAGTGAATCTTTTCTGTTTGAGCCCACACTAATTTCTCACTTCTCGAACTCCTAAAACACTTGAGTCTGTATCATTTAGAATTTTAATGTATGTAGAACATGTTTTAGACTAGAATAAACTCAGTAAATGCCTGATAACTTTCCATCCTTCACCACTAGCTAGCTGGTATGCTGTAGCTGGTTGTTTAACATCCCAAATATCACTTTTCACATACTTACAATGATGGTAACATGATCTGTTTTCCCAAGAATGTTTTAGCAAACTAACTAGAATGTAGCATACTATCCAGAATACAGTGGATACTCTTTGTTAAATGATAACTGCTGCTGTCATGTTTTTTAAACTGAGGTTTAAAAGATTGTCCTGGAGACTGTAAAATAAAAAACAACTCCTCCAAAAGACAGAATTTTTTTAATATTTATTTTTTAGTTGTAGTTGGACACAACACCTTTATTTCACTTGTTTATTTTTGTATGTGGTGTTGAGGATCGAACCGAGGGTCCCGCACGTGCGAGGCGAGCACTCCACCACTGAGCCACAACCCCAGCCCCAAAAGACAAAATCTTAAGGCATAATTATCCCAATCAGTGCTTTATGACAGATCCCACAGGATGATATTTAACAAAGGACATTCAGAAAGTTATTAATAAACAGTTTCCTAAAACATAAACATATGTATTGATATTTCATAAGAAGAAGCAATTACACAATTCAATTTTTAATATTGGATTTCTTAACTAAAGGTTAGGGGTCTAGTAAAAATAACTTAATAACTAATCATTTGAACTCTTTTTAATCTTTTTCATTAATACCATTAAGTGATTTAGTAAGGCTTTTAAATACTCAAGAATACTCCTAAAGTTTATATGGCTAAGGAACTGTAACATTCTTGTTTTTGCTTATTTACAACACAGCATGATTGCTTTCTTTTTTTAAAAAGATTTTTTCCTTAAAAAAATTTTTTTTAGTTGTAGATAGACACAATACCTTTATTTAATTTGTTTATTTTCATATAGTGCTGAGGATTGAACCCAGTGCTTCATACATGCTGAGCCACAACTCCAGCCCCATGATTGGTTTTGTTTGTTTGTTTTAATGAAGTACAGATTGAGCATCCCTAATTTGAAAATGAAAAATTCAAAATGCTCTCAAATTGAAACTTTCTGAGAGCTGACATGATGGTACAAGTAGAAATTTTCACAATGTATTTCATGTGACAGGTTGCAGTCAAAATGAAAGTACACCAAAAATATTGTGAAAACTTACTTTCAGGCTGTGTTTATAAGGTGTGTATAAAGTACAAATGAATTTCAAGCATAAACTTCCATTCTATCCCCAAGATGTCTCATTATGTATATTCACATATTCTAAAATGTAGCCAAGTGTGGTGGTGCATGCCTGTTATCACAGCTGCTCAGGAGAAGGAGGCAGGAGGATCACAAATTCAAGGCCAGCCTTTGCAACTTAGCTAGACCCTCTCTCAAAATAAAAAGGGCTAGGGATTTAGATCAGTGGTAAAGCACCCTCAGGATTCAATCCACAGTTCCAAAAAATAGAGAAGAGGGGATTGGGGAGAGAAAGAAAGAAAAACCACTTTTCTCAGCATATCTGGAATACTACTGGTTAGGATATGAAATCACTCTTTGACTCTGAAAGTTACTTCTAAGTTTATTAATTTTTTTAATAGACTGACTCATGATTGACTCTTGGCTTACCCTCAAAAAGAGCTGATCATATAATAGATAACAATTTCAGTTTCTCTGCTAGAGGAAGTAAGTACAAGACAAAATAACTATTCTTTTTTTACTTCCCAACAGATCCCAGATGGATTTTTTGCCCATTTTTATGCCATTTGTGAGCACATAAGCCCTGTCCTCGCTTGGGGCTTTTTGGGTCCTAGAAATTCTCTTTATGATTTATGTTGCTTCTTTAAGGTATGTTCAGTCATTGATATATTGATTTATTGCTTTTTTAGTGAATCAAAAAGTGGATAAGGGGGCTGGGGTTGTGGCTCAGCAGTAGAGTGCTTGCCTATCATGTGTGAGGCACTGGGTTCAATCCTCGGCACCTCATAAAAATAAAATAAAGGTTATTGTGTCCACCTACCACTAAAAAACAAATATTTTTTTTAAAAAGGGATAAGGTTTTATTCTGTTTTGGTTTTGCTTGTAGAAGAAAGAATTTTATTTAAATGTGAAGTTATACAGGTTACCTAAATTCAGGTGACCAATTTGAATTAGTGACATTTTATAGTAATGTTGTTATTAAAATGAACCAGTGCTTTATAGATTTGGTGCCTTAGTGTAGAATAGGTTCACTGAGTCCATTCGCCTTATCAATTCTTTCTGTCATGGTCTTGCATGGTGTTACAGTGTTACAGTGGAATTCATGTAGTTTGTTCTTCATGCCTAGATACTTGAAATTTATAAACAAGCGATATTTTTATTGCAGTAAGTTATTTTCTCCCCACTTTTTAAAAATTGGTGCATTATAATTGTTCATACTAATGGGATTTGATGGTCCATATTTGTATATGTACACAATACACAATATAACAGTACAATTTATCCAATATAATTTGTTCCAAGCATTTTCCCCCTCCTAGTGCAGTAAGTTCTGATATGAACGATAAAATCCAAGTTGTGAGAAATAACATGGGAGTTTAAAGTTGTATCCTAATGTCAGACGATTATGTTTGCCAAAACACACAGTAAAGTTCATTGAAGAAGTATCTCTTCGGCAAAGTGCCAAAGGAGTGTCTCTATTCAATAAGGTGTAGGCTGAGTTTCAAGGAGCAATTAAAAGTAAACATAATTGAATATGAATTTTAAAGTTTGGGTGTTTCATTATATATTCATTTTTGAATTAAGTTACTATGTTTATGTGCTATTGATACAATATTTGTATAAATAATTTAGGAAATGTTTATTTTACTGTCATTTAGAACTCATTAATTTTTAACTAGGTTACTTGCCCTCCCAGATGTAATGTATGTATTTTAATTGAAAAAATTGAGCTTCGAATTAAATCTGTCATTAATGAACAGTCTGACTTAGGGGAAAAATAATCCTTTTGTCTATAAAATGACGGGACTTCACAGGTTGATTGCTAATTACCCTTGTGAATATAAAAATCCAATGAACCTATATGTCTTCTTAGTACTTAATATTTGATTTCTAGAGGACATAAATTATATATTCCTGCTTTTTTCTTTGGAATTACTTTCTTTTCATCATGACCTTGCAATTGAAATTTACAATTTATAGTATACTTAATAGTAGTATACTATTAAAAAGAATAGTATACTACCCATTTAAGTAAATGTACTTAAATGAATGTCGGGGGTTAGGGATTTAGCTCGGTGGCACAGTTTTTGCCTAGCATGCTTGAGGCCTGAGTTTGGTCCTTAGGCCTGGGGGGAGGGGGAGATGAGTTTCAAAATAAGTATCAACTTAGGTAAAATATTCTTCTAGGTCTTTCTCTGATTTGAGGCCTGAATTTATTTTTATTTTTTGTGTCTTAAGGGGTTTTGTACAGAAGAATGCACATTTAATAATTATTTATGATTATTGAAAATAGTTTATTCTTCTCCTAAAGTAGTACCAGTACTCAGAGGAAACAATGAAGGAAAGGCTAATAAATAGCCCCTCACATTTATACATGCTTTAGGGTTTGCAGGCACTTCTCTTAGATTTCTTTTTAATCATTATATCAGCCCTGAGTAGTAAATTAGATGGGTGGTATTATCTTATATTTATCTGTCAAAAAGAAAATGGGACCCAAAAAAAGGTTACATGGCTTGTTCAAGGTCCCTTTTCCAATGAGATGTGAAATCATCCCTGGAGTTCAGATGTTCTGACTCCTGATATAATGCTAGTTATAATGTTAGTAACTCTTTAGATTTAATATAATTTTGGTCTAATACATGCCAATTTGTTTTGTGTTCATTCTCCAGAATCAAGTTATTTTCTTTCTCAAAGACATTTTTGATTTTGAGAAGGTGCGCTATTCAAGTATAGAGACTTTGGCTGAAGACCTCATGCAGTTACTCATTCGCCGCATGGAACTTTTAATGGCCTATCTTGGAGCAGATGCCCTGAGACACACGAGTAGCTGTTTAAGTGGTCATGGTCATGTTATATCCAGTGGGCTATTGGAAGCCAAAGTACAATAAGTACCATAAGAATCATACATTTTGAGAGTGGTATAAAATATTTTAAGGTAACTATTGATTTTGTAATATGTATTACAGAATTGGTGGATGTGGACTCAGGGAGGGGAAAAAATCTAGTAAAGAATGAATGAATAAATAAGTACTGTACTTATACAGAAATTCTTTGCATCCCTGTGTAGTATATTCAGAGCAGCTTTTTAATAATCTAGGTAGTAATTTAAGTTGTGAATTGTGAATTCTATAGGAGTATTGCTTAATTTGAAGCCAATACTTGGGAGTTAATTGATTTATCATCTTCAAGCTGTCAGAAATGTCCAGTGTCATACTTAAAAGGTTTGTTTTTATTCTTTGCACCTTGAAAATATACATTTTAGCCAAGTCCTTCATGGTCCACATATGCAAGAATATATTACAACACCTTTGTGGTCCATACATAGAAGAATATATTACTCCTAGTGTCAATATGTTTAACTGCCTGAAAACGTGTTTTTTAACTGTAAAGTTATTCATTTGTTAGATCAAATTTAGGCAGTAGTGGCATTTAATGTGTACTGCTTATATTATTGCCTGTATGTTTGTTTATGTATTTCAATCAGAGAAATTGTAATCACTGAGTATCAATATAAAACATTTAGATGAATTGACACTTGAGAAGTTTACAACTTGTAACTTTATGTTAGATTAATTGTAGTTTCCAAAATATGTTAACTGTTGGTCCTATGAATTACAATACAGAGACTGAAGTACTTTAATCTTTTAATAGTTAGAACATTTTTCTCTTGAATTAATATTGATTCAAAAGATAGCATTTGTTTACTAAGAAAAGCAATTTAAAACATACCCTTTATAAATGTAATTTTGAGACTGACTCCCAACACCTGAGGTATTCAAACTTGGTAACAGTAAAATAATTTCTCTTTTATTCTTCCACAAAACAAGTTTTTAGTTACTCTCATAGGGGACTCAGCACACTGGGAATTTGTTATAGTATGCCCATATTTTTAAGATGTTCATACTTTGAGTCATAGGTTTTTTTTTATTGTTATTCTTTGTTTGTAGTGCTGGGATTGAACTCAGGGGTGCTTTACCACTGAGCTACATTCCTAGCCCTTTTTTAAAAAAAAAATATTCTTATTTTGAGGCAGAGTCTCGCTAAGTTGCTGAGGCTGGCCTTGAACTTGAGATCCTCCTGTCTCAATCTCCCAAGTAGCTGGATTACAGGCATAAGATACTGCACCCCACTGAATCTTGGTGAGGTTTTAAAGAATTTTTTTTTTCTTTTTTTTCCTCTGATAAAGAACAAAATATTTTTAATGATATGGAAGTATATTCTGTGTCCTCTATGACAAGTGTATGAACAAGTGGGTTGTTCTTGAGTGAGGCTTTTCAGAGTGTATTAGATATTTTTAGAATTGCATTAATTTTGTTCCTAAGTCATATACCACTTGTTTGGAGTGGCTGACTCTATCAGTGGGTTAAATTTGTTGCTTTTGCTCCCTGAAGTGGTCTTTATACATTTTAGGAGTGAATTACACAAAAGGATCTAAAATGCATTTTTTAAAAATGCATTTTTAGATTAAAGTGCCTAGTTTCAGATTAATGAATAGAAAATGAAAAGTGAAAAGGAATAATTTTTAAGTGTTAAAATTTATAAGCCACAATAATTTAAATCAATTACAAAATATGAAATTCAGAATCATACAATTTTTGCATGTACTGTATAGGTTAGAACATTAAATATATGAAATATTACTCTAATTGTTCTTGAGTATATAACTCCTTTGTGTCTTAGTTTTGTTTTGTTTTCAGTTTGGGGGATCAAACTCAGGGCCTCATACATGCTAGGCAAGTGCTCTGCTGCTGAGCTACATCCCCAGTCCTCTTACACAGATTTTTAAATTAATAATTGCCTATTCATAATTCTCACTGATGGAGGAGTATTAGAAGTACAAAAATGGAAAATTCCATTATATAACATTTTACTTTTCATTTAGTATTGAGTTTTTTCACCCTCTTGTTGAGGTATCACTGGCTTTGAATGATGCACACATACACATATGTGCGTGTGTTCATTCCCATTACCTCATGGGCAGGGCAGTTATCACTTCTACTAATTTACTCAACTGAGGCTAAATGTTTTATGCCATGATTTTTATTTATGAACAAAAGCTATGAGTGAACTTACTATTTTATTTAAGAAAGATACTGTTTGAACTCAATTTGGAAGAATTGCACTGTTTAATAATGCTGCTATTAGATAACCATGGGGAATTTATTTCATCAGACAAGGTAAATGGAGTTCTAGGAGATATTTGGGTCTCTCCTCTCCTCTCCCCTCCCCCATACCACCACCTCACATTTCAATTTATTAAATCAGAAAAAATTGACCATCTTCAGGAGGTTAATTTTTCAAATTCAGTGCTTGATTTTGATGATTAGTTTTTGATCAGTTCTGTAGCTACAACATTACAAAGAAGCTTTCTTTGTGGCCTTTTAACAAAAGGGATAAGAGTAACCAAATAGAATTTCAGGGCAGTAAATGTAGGAAAAGTCTATTGTATGTGAAGAAACATAACTTTTTTGAAAAGTAAACATTTTCTAAAAAGAATATTTCTGACTGCAGAAGGGTACTGAGATATATATGCCTCTTTTTATTTGCCTTAAAACTGGATTAAGCAGCAAAGGCAATGCTTTAAAAAATAAAATAACACTTAAATTAGTCTAAAGCCTTTCAGGGTAAAACCCATCAACTTACTCCTGGTGGTATTGTCAGGAAAGTACAGTTAACCACCATGAGTCCCTTCATTCACTCCCTTCTATGTAAGTTAAAACAGGGCCTTGGATTAGTCAGTTCTGAGAAAATGGCTTTTCCTCCTCTTTTCTGGAAGAAAAAAAATAAGTGTTCAGATGATTTACATGTTACTTTTTAAAAATTTTTTCTAGTTTGGTTTGTCTGCATTTCTTTTTTTTTTTTTTTTTAAACATCTAACAAAGTAGTTACTTTTTACCCAGAGGTTAACGATATGTTACTAAAATGTCAAAATTGAACTAACTTTTTAAAAGCTAAGTTTTTCATACTGTTATAGTCAGCTCCAAAGAACTTTCTCTTTCTCATAAAGTAGCATTCAATCATTTGCATCCATTTAGAATCAGTTTTATTAATTTGTTGTTAGATGACTGTAAAAAGTATTTACAAATGTTTCTTGCCTTAAGATGTAATATTTTCTACTTATTCCCAAAAGAGTTATTATTTGCATTACAAAGGAATTATTAGTTTATTGTTCCTTTAAGCCTAGGAAACAGGAATGCCAAAGTAACATTTAATGTACTTCTCTGTGAAATTTCATAATCAGAAATTTTTAAATATGTTTATAACCCATTTGCTTTTATTTTAATATGCACATGTATTTAGAAATTGGTTGGGTTGTAAATTTCAAAGTGACTGTAAGAATTAGGCTGAATTCAATTTTTTTTTTACTTGGATAAATCAGATTAATATAAGTATGTGAGAATTAATAAAAATTTATATTATCTGTGAAAAATGGAAATAAGGACATCTTTACCTTGTTCCTAATGGTTATGTTACTGTTTTGGTCTAGTTTGAGAACAACCATGTTTTAGCTTTACTTGGTTGATATCAGTAAATGTATTTATTTCTTAAATGTAAGAACTGAATTAATTTGTGTAAAAATAAAACACTACAGTAGCAGAAAAAAATAGCATTGGCTCTTTAGCCAAAATAAGCACTATGACATGGATGTATTTCTATAACTGCCAAATAAAAAAGTGATTGTACACCTAGGAAATGTATTGCATACTTTAAACAATGTTTATATATAATTGGAAGGTCACAATTGTCTCATTAAACTCTACGCTATGAGAGCTTTCCATCTGTATATCACCACATATATACATATATATATGTGTGTGTGTGTGTGTGTATATATATATATATACACACACACACACATAGAGAACATAGACAGCTGTAGAAGCATTGAAATTGAATGTAAAGATGTGTCTCTTTATGTACTAATGTGGGGGAAAAGGGTAGTTTTGTGATGAATAAAGTCAAAGTACTTGTGTTTTAATTAAAGTGTTGCAGTGGGTAATGCCATCAAGCATAATATAAATTTATCAAACTGATACATGTGCATCCATCCCTCTTCAGATTTCAACCTCCTTTCTCCTGACATCTTGAGAAGGGTTTAGATACATTTAGTCAAGGAGAGAGATGCTGCCAACAGATGGCAGAAAGGATTCACCTGGACACAAAAACACTATTCTTAATTTGAGACTTTAAACAAATAGGTTTGTTATAAAGTAATTAAGCATATGTTACATAGATAAATAGGTAGTTATATAATTATACAGTCAGTTATTTATTTATTTATTTATTTATAGTGCTGGGATTAAAACCAGGGTCTCTTGAATGCTTGAACACTCTCCAGCTGAGCTGCATACTAGCCATTATGTAAAAAAAAAAAAAAAAAAAGTTTCAAACTTTTCAACTGAAGTATATTACTTAATAAGCAAATCATACAAACATGAGTCTTTCCATTCTGGTTATAGGGTTAGAGTAGAATGGGGACCCAAATTGGTATTTCTGTCTCATTTACTGTTTTCCATGTCATTTCTGTCATATTCTTTGTTGTCTCATGCATCCTCTTTGATCCTACTGTCTGAACTTAATATTTTGCCCTTTAAACATCTCTCTCTGAATTCTTATGTGCATATAAAATGCTTCTCTGCAAGCATCTCGCTATTCTGTTATAACATTATTTGTAGGATTTATTTTTATTTTTTTATCCACTGTCTTTTTTACTGTTCTTATGCTGCTTTTGACTTGTTTTTTTCTTTAGTGTTTTTTTCCTATTCCCTATGTTCTCTGATTCCTTACCCTGCCACTTTTTTCCCCTTGATCCCTTGCTGTCCTATGCTATTGATATTTCTGATCAGGCCGCACAAGCTCTTTGGTCTGCTGAAGTTCTAAACAGTGAAAAATCACACAGTAACCTTCATCATTTGGGCAGGGATGGGCTGGATTTCAGAAGAGAAAAGAAAAAGAGCAAACCTTCCTTCTATGACACTTTTTATTCTTTACTTAAAAGCCACAGTAAAGCAACTGATACATCAAATATCTCCTCAGCATTTTACTTTTTTATGTGTGTCATAGAAACCTTTCACAAAGTACATTTATATATAGGAAATTACAGGACTGATAATTTGCTATGTTTGAAATAACACCATAGTTCTTGACTCTAGAGAAGCATTTTACCATCTGAAAGCAATTGGAATATATAACTTATCAAACTTTGTAAATTGTTTTTAGTAATACTTAGAGAATGGTTCCAGTAACTTTGAAAAAGTATGAAGTATTTTCCAGGTGTGGTGGTGCATGCCTATAATCCCAGTGACCCAGGATGCTAAGGCAGGAGGATTGCAAATTCAAGGCCAGCCGTAGCAACTTATTGAGGGCCTAAGTAATTTAGCAACACACTGTCTCAAAATAAAAAGGGCTGGGAATGTGATTCAGTTTGTTAAGCTCCCCTAAGTTCAATCCACAGTACTAAAAAATAAAATAAATAATGGGGATGTAGCTTAATGGTAGAATGCCCCTGGGTTCAGTCCCCAGTACCAAAGAAAAAAGAAAAAAAAAATGAAGTACTTAATATGTGATATAAAGTAGGTTAAAGCAAATATTTCCTTCCCTTTTTTTCTCCTTTGTTTGAGACAGTCTCACTGTGTTTCCCAGACTGGTTACAAATTCCTGGGCTCAAGTGATCCTCCTTCATCAGCTTCCTGAGTAGCCTCTTTCACCACTCCTGGCTTTTAGGACCATCATGGCCTCAAGACCTTTAGTTAGCAGGAATGGCATGATGACCCTACTTAGGGTACAATCAGAGAAGTAAAAAATTGTGCTCTATCTGTATACAATGAATCAAAGAGCAGTGTATTGCCATGTATAACTGATTAGAATGAATAAATAAATAAATGAAGATCTTTAGTTAAAATATGGATTCACTGGATATTCCAAGATATCTTGGTCCAAAAACTACACCCTTAAGTCATTTTCTGGGATTTCTAGTCCCTTACTTTTGTTTTTCTTTCATTACCCTTTTTTTTTTCTTTTGTTCTTTTAAATATTGTTGTTGTTGGACACAATAGCTTTACTTATATTTTTAATTTTTATGTGGTGCTGAGGATCGAATCCAGTGCCTCATACATGCTAGGCAAGCGCTCTACCACTAAGCTACAGCCCCAGCTCCTGTTTCATGGCCCTTTTAAAGGAGAAAACAACTTAGATATGAAAGCAATGAGTACGTAATCTCCCTAGGTTTTACTAAGCTTGTACCCAATCTTTTTGTACATGTCCTCACCACACCTAGGTTGATGGTAATTTTTGTAAGCTATTTGCCTTTATTAAGTCTTTTCAAAGCATTCAACTTAGGTCTTATAAAGATTATAACAGTCTTTTAACTTTAATATATGATTTCAAAGGGGGCCAGGAGTATAGCTCGGTGGTACAGAACTTGCCTAAAATGTTTTTTAACATTCTTGATTTGATCCCAGCACCATGAAAAAAAGAAAAAGCTCTGATACAGTCAAGATTGACAACAAATTCAGCTGGTTCATGATAGATATGTCAGGAATATTTATACAATTTGACAAATCTTGGATTTCTTGTAATTTTCTCAAATTTAGCCTATTAAAACTTAGCCCCTGACCACCCCTGCCAGCACTACCAGTCTTCCCCTCTGAGTGAATGACAGCTCTCTTCTTCAGTTCAAGAGCCAAAAACCTCTTTTCATTTCACTTCATAGCCTGTTACAAGTTCTACCTAAAAATGTACCAAGAAAAAAAAATGAGCCAAGCCATATGTCACTACCTTAACAGCTATCACCTTGATTCATATCCCTATTATCCCACATCCTGATTCCTGTGGAAGTCTCTCAATTGCTTCCTCACTTGTCCCATTTAGTAAATTTTCAGCACATCAGCTGAGATGAACATGTTACAAGCAGTCATGTCACCAGTTTGTTCAAAACCCACCATGGCCACCCATCTTAGAGTAAAAAGCAAAGTCCTTACACTATACAAAAAGGGTTTTTTAAAAAAAAATATTTTTTGTTTTCAGCGGATACAACATCTTTGTTTGTATGTGATGCTGAGGATCAAACCCGGGCCGCACTACCGCTTGAGCCACATCCCAGCCCTACAGAAAGGGTTTTACCCTCATCCCCTGCCCCAGCCCACCTCTTGTTATTTTACTCCTCATGTACTCAAGCTTCACCCACACAAGCCTCCTTGGTCCTTCTCTGGGCCTTTGTACCTCTCCTTGGTCCAGTCTTCAGATGTTTACATGGCTCACTGCCTGCTACAGTCTGGATATGGTTTACAATATTCAAAAGTTCATGTGTTGTGGACTGGGATTGTGGCTTAGCGGTAGAACACATGCCTCACTTGTGTGAGGCACTGGGTTCAATTCTCAGCACTGCATATAAATAAATGAATAAAAACTGAAAGATTCATATAAAAAAAAAGTTCATGTGTTGGAAGTTTGGTCCCCATACAATGTTAAGAGGTAGTGGAACCTTTAAGAGGTAGGGCTTAGTGAGAGATCATTATTGGTCCACCCTACACTCTGGCTCCCTGTCTCACTGTGTGATCTCACCCTCTCCCACAAACTCTGTGCCATTGTGATGCCATCTGTCATGATGTCCTCACCAGAGCCAAACTTTGCCCTGAAACTTTGCCCTGAAACTTCAGAACTGTGAGCTAAATAAACCTCCTTTCTTTATGGTTATCTGGCCTCAGATATTTTGTTACAGTAATAGGAAATGAACTAATACATTGCCTCACTTTTAATAGTTTTACTCACTTGAGGCTTTCTCTAGTTGCTCTATCTAAACTTATAACATTCACTCCTCACCCATTCTCGATGTTCCCTACTTTCCCACTCATTTTATAAATATTGCATATCACTAAGTACTACGAATGTCATTTATTTGCTTATCCGTCTTCTATTAGAATTTATGTTCCACGAGAATGGGAACTTAATTTTGTTCCTGCTGTATCTTCAGTATCTAAAACTGATAATTTGTTGAAAGGGTGATGAATTGGTGAGTAAGTAGGCCTTGCAGGCTGTGGGTAGTTTTCAGCATTTTTTAGAAAGAATGGAGAGCTTTTTTAATATAGTGAATCTGTTGAGAAACACAAAATTAGAAAGTTCCTATTCAGTTTTTTAAATCACAAAAATATATAGTTATAAATTGATATGAATAGAGAGGAAAAGGATGGGATGAGCACATACAGATATTGTAAACCATATCCAGACTGTAGCAGGCAGTGAGCCATGTAAACATGAGAAAGTGATATTTAAGTGGTAATTCCAAAGGATATGTGGAAGTTAGGTGAAGAATGGGGGAAGAGGATGTCATGCTGAAGGAATAACTTGTGAAAAGCCGTTCAGCCAGAATGACCATGAACTAACTAAGGCCAAGGTGAGGATACTGAAGGGAGCCCAGGGACAAGCTAAATAATACCAACCACCGATCACTATCTGTATTTAACCATTTTAATTGCCAACTTAGAGCTTCACTGAGGAATGAATATGTTACCTGTCTTTTTTTATTTGTTCTTTTTAGTTATATGTGAAAGTAGAATGTATTTTGACATATTATACATACATGGCATATAATTTCCCATTCTTGTGGTTGTACATGATGTGGAGTTTATTCATGTATGAACATAGGAAAATTATATTCCATTCATTTTACTTTTTTCTATTCCCATCCTCCTTCTCTTCCCTTCATTCACCCTTGTCTAATCCAAAGTACTTCTATTCCTCCCCACCCCCAGCCTTCTTGTGTGTTAGCATCCGTATATCAGAGAGAACATTTGGCCTTTGTTTTTTGGGGATTGGCTTATTTCACTTAGCATGATAGTCTCCAGTTCCGTCCATTTACCAACAGGTGCCATGATTTCATTCCTCTTTATGGATGAGTAGAGCTAGGGTTGTGGTTCTGTGGTAGAGCCAGCACTTGCCTAGCACGTGTGAGGCATTGGGTTCAATTCTCAGCACCACATATAAATAAGTAAATAAAATAAAGAAAA